TTTGTCTCCCCGAGAGCTTGATCGAAGATCTTGGTCTTCTCCTTAATATCAGCTTTGAGGTACTCCACCTCGTGCTCCAGGGCCCCCTTGGCTTCCTTAAGTTTCTGCACCTCAAGATTTAAGGCCTCCTGGCCTGCTCCGAGCCCGTTCACCTCAGCCTTCAGCCTGTCCTTCTCGCGGGCTAGCTCCTCCTTCTCTGACAACAGAACTTCAATGAAGCTGTTCTGAGATGCAGCGTCACCTTCCAACTGATGGATCTTTAACCGAGTTGCCCTCAAATCAGTATGAGCTGCATGAGATGACCCCTCAGGTTGGTCAGTACGAAAGAGAAAAGAACGAAAGAATGGGAAAATGATGATTCTTAGAGTGTGAACTCACCACCATAGCGTGGGTTGCAGCGCAGGCCCCAAGCTGACCAGGGGTGAGATCGACCCAGTCTGTAACCTCTACGGGGTAGACAACCTCTTTACTTTTTTGGAGGCTACACTGGGGGATCAGGATGCTCTCCTCCTCCTGGCTCCCCGAGCTGGACACCGCCGTCTCAGTAGCATGATGAGTCAATTCTTCGGAAGCCTTAGCAGCAGCTTCGGCGGGATTAGGAACTTTGGCTGCAGCCCCAGCTGGCTTAGCGACCGGCTCTGCCACGACCTTAGGCTCCTGAGATGGTAAGTCCCCCTCCAAATCTATCATTGGAGGGGCATTAGGGAGCTCGGGCTCCGAGATGGGAACCTGTGGGAGCCCGGGCCTCGAAGAGGGAACCTGTGGGAGGTCGGGCTCAGGAGTGGGGGTACTTGGGGGCTCTACGCGTGCCTTCTTGGCGGTTCGCTTCTTCCTCTTCTTCATTTGGCGAAGGAGCCTTTGATCAGTAATCCTCTCTTCCTTCATGGGACCTGCAATAGAGCTCGGCGTCAGTAAGCTTGAAAACACTTAGCTGATTAAGCGAGACGCTAAGGTAAAAATAGACCTACCTGGGCTCAAACCGGCCTGAATGAGCTTCTCTTCGGCAATGTAATCTTTGTGATCGAACCCAACCTGAGCCCATGAGTGGAATGTTTCCCTCATCTTCCGGTCGAGAATAATGTTGGGGTCTTGAGTAGCCACCCTCTAGCTAGTAAGGAAGGGCCACCCCGTGCTGCTCCGGACTACAAAGTAGTCCTGCTTCCAGGCCGGGACCTTGCTTGGGAATTTATGTAACAATTTGAAGCCCGAGCGAGGGGACAGATAGTAGGTCCACCTGTGCTCGGGGAGAACGCCCGAGGTGCTCTTCTTTATTGACAAAATAGAACAAAGGATATCTATATCTAAGGGAAGATTGTATTCGAAACAAAGGGAGATAGTCCCGACCACGTTTCGAATAGAGTTTGGGTGGAGTTGGTCCAGCATGACGAAACCCACCGATGAGTTGCTCCCTAAAGACTATATGAGTATTCCTGAGGTAGGTTGAAATGCTGGATAAGGTGCTGAAGTCTCTCCAGCGTCATAGTGGATGGACCGAATTGATCTGGCACTCGACCTCGGTGGGAGGTGGATGCCAGCCTACCCGAGGTCACCCGTGCCTCGTGGGAAGGCTGGGCAACAGCGGGGTCACCCTGACCTGAGGTACCCACCTCGGGCTCGTTTAAGAGACTGTCCCCGCTAGACATTGAATGAAATGAACTGAAAAAGGAGAAAGGGAGGCTCGGGGACTCACCGAGGAAAAACGCAACCGAGCGTGACGCCCGCGCACTATTTATAGCCGCTAGGCCCAGGCACCAACAGTCAAGATCGAAGCAATCTGACGGTTCTCAAGAAAACCGGCTGCGAGGCTCTCGAGGTGAAATCAGTTTAGCGCATTTTTTGGCATCCGCGAAGTCCAGATCGCGTGACGCCCGCGCATGAGTTGTACGCAACCCGGGTTTTTCCTTCCAAGTGAACTGAGCGCCAAACCGGTCTGGCCAACGGGTTGCCCGACAGGGTGGCATAAGTGCCGAGCCAAATCCACCCGACGCACCATGAACTCCCCGCGCTGGGTCAGCAACCCCAACACGGGGAGTGGGGGGCAATTGATGGAGGGTGATTTGGCCCAACCTCGTAGCACAGGGATACATGTGCGTGACCTAGCTTGACGAATAGCTCAGCCTAACAGCACAACCGTGACTTGACGGGAGGGACCCGCCGAGTCCAACATTGGCCACTCGGCGGGTTAAGCGACTCGCCGGGGACTAACGCCCGACCAACCATGACTCCCACCAAGTGTGGGAGATCCTGAACTCCTCTCACGGCCCGAGCTCCCCTTGAGACCCGAGCTCCTCCTAAGGGGCCCCGTGCTCTCCCTTCCTAAGAAGGGAGCACCCCGGTTTTTGGCTAAGTGTCCCGAGGGAGAAACACCTCGGGGCAGCACCGTTGAGACTTCTGTTCGATTTTGCTTAAGGCCCGCCTCCAGTGTGGGCACCTCGGCACCTCGGTGCAAGGGAAACCTGCCCCAGGTGGTTCGGTGTACACTAGCTCGGCAGGTTGCAGGGAGATTTGCCTGATATCCGTGCCTGCCTAACATTCGTACCTACCGGATCCGGTGGCAGGGCTCGAATCCCTTGCCAGGTGGCGTTCTGCTTGCCAGGCGGCATTCTGCTTGCCGTCTCTGAAAAGCATGGCACGCCTGTCGAGTCCATACCTTGCAATAGCAGCCTATAGCAACAACCTGCACCTGCCACACCTACCCTGGCAGTAACGGCTAGAGCAATGGCGGTTATGCCAAATGTGACTGAGTTCCGATATAAAAGAACCCCAACCCTCATGAAGCGAAGGTATTGAAGTTAGTACTTTCAACACTCTTAACTCTCTGTATCTTCTTTGAGTTTTTCCCAGAGTTCTAACTTAGCCATCGAAGTGTTCCCTCCGGGAGAGCTCCCTAGGAACCCTTCACCTTCTTATTCCTCTCAGGTGCCATCCATCACAACTAGGAGCCAACTCTCAGTCAGCTAGGAGTGCCCAGATTGTACTGCATCAGAAAACAAATTGTTTTTGTTATTTTATTGAAGTGAAAATTTAAAAACAAATGAAAGTAAAAGTAGAACACCCCTTTTTTAATTCAATTTAGCCGTTTTGGTGCTTATTAAAAAAAAACTGCCATTTATGTCCATGTCGGCAAAAGAAAGATATTTTCGTTTAATTCTCTTGGTAAAGAAAAAACATTACTCAATTTTAATCCCAACTCTCTAGGGTCGTGGGGACTTAGGTAAGAGGGGCATATTGGATATGGTTCTAACCTAACCCAGAATTTGGGTGTTGTTATTTGAAAAATAGTGCTTAAAATAAAGTACTTGTTCTAATAAGTTCTCACGAGCATTTGATGAAAAAGCACTTATTTTAAATAGGGCCAGTATAGGTATTTTCAAAATGATGTGAAAAGCCAAGATAAACCATATGGAAAGTAAACTTTTAAAAATAAGCTCAAATTTTGGGTTTCTTGATTTGGTGTCTAAGAATAAACACTTATTCATTCTTATTTCCCAAATACAAATAAATGCTTATTAGTGTGGTCTTGACCCAAAATAAGTATTTCTTCAAATAAGCACTTAATTTTAAGCATTTCCAAACTTAACCTTCACTAGCTTGTGACTTGTCAAGCACTACACAAAATTTAGATCTATTGACCACAAGATACTGGAAACAATACCTTATAGTTGCACATTCAGAAAAATTTTATGTTGTAATTCATGAAAGAAGCTGTAGTGTCTTATAGTTAGGATTCGATTGGCATATGTGGTGAATCTCCATTAATGGGTAAAAAAGTAATTGCACTCAATATTGTTTTTGATAAAAAATAAGGGTAAATTGTAGATTAATATCCTTTACTTTGGGACTAGTCTTATTTTAATAACTAAATTTCAAAATGTGCCACTACAGGACCTAAACTACTCCCCAAAACTATTAGTTTAGTATCCGTAAGTTATCTAACGCACATGATGTCACATGAGATTTTGTAACATTTCAAAATTCAAGAATTACCCTTTAGAAGAAAACATTATTCATTATTTTCTTCCTTGAAACTAAACCATATGGGTGAGCAAGACAAACTAACAACTTGAACCGAACCGAAAAATCAACTGAAATCGAACCAAACGGTTTGGTTTTGATTTGGTATTTTTTAAAAAAATGAAGGTATTAGTTTGGTTTCAATTAACCAATATGAAAAACCAACGATTAACCGAATCAATCAGTATACTTATATTTTTATATATTTTATGTATATTATGTATATTATACATATTTTATATTTTCTATATATTATATATCAATAAATATGTATTATAAATAATATATATATAATAATAATATTATATATATTTATAGTTTTTATTGTATATATATTATATAAATATAAAAAACTGAAAATTAGATGACATTTTTGTCATTTCATATACTCATTAACTAAATCATTCTGGACTAAATTGGCAGTTTTTGGAATTTCAATTACTATATTCACATATTTTGAAAATTGGGTATGAGAGTTGACTTATAATGCCAAAGATAAAGTTGACTTATAATGCCAAAAACAGTGAACAGCCAAAGGATTTTTTTTTTTTTAATTTTTTTTTTCATTATTACACCAACCAATAAACCAAATATCGCTGCAACCCTTGCCACACTAGACCACGTATCATGGGCTCGCGTCCAGAGTTCACTTCACCCAAACTCGATCTTAACCGGTCAGAACCCGGCGCCCCGTATATCAGGGAGAAAGGAACTGAAAAATCTGGGGCATGTGAGTACGGTTACATGATTACATCTGCCTTGCACTGTTCCTGAATCCTAGCTATCTGACCAATCTTGACACCTTCGAGTCGAAAACAGAACAGGGTGGGTGTCTGGTGAGTCAGTACTCAGAAAAAACAGGGAAAGCAGTGGACTTGTGTTTCTGTGTGTGCATGCTGATGCTGTGTCGAGTATATCTTATTTCACGCACTTTGCGCGGTTATTAGTGCTTTCCCTTGCTTTGCAACTTACAAAATTAACTTCAGCCCTCACTCAGGGTGTTTGGCCTTTGGGTTTGTTTTGTGTGGATGCTTTTCAAGACCCAGCCGTCCCTTTCATAACTCTCTCAGTTTTCCAACTATGTCGAATATAATAGTTTACACGCATCGAGATAACCCAGAAGGAAGAAAGAGAAGAATCTGTCTTGTTCTCTCCTCCGCCCAAAGGGGGGATATATACAAATACAATAAATAATACAAATGCAGAGAGAGTTGGGAAGAAAGGCAAGATTAGAAGATCAGTGAATTTGAGAAGAAAAAATATGGTGGGTATCTTTTCACGATTCTCTGGAAGCAGAAACAGCCATCGACGGACTCAAAGCGCAGTCGTAAGCATCCCACCTCTTAATTGTATTTGGTAGGAAGTTTTTCTTGTTCTTTAGCCTTAGTAGATTTGGCTTGTTTAATACTCGCTGGTTTCTGGGCATTGGCTGTTTTTGACTCTTTTTTTGACGTCTTTCTGTTACTCCAAAGTTTAAACTATATGTTTGTTTGAAATGATTATTTTGTTCATTTTGCTTGTACCCATTTCATTCGTTCGTCTGGATTTGTCTCTCTTTTTTCTTTTTCTTTTTTATTTTTATATTAGGTTGTTTGAGATGATTATCTGATTCATTCTCATATCTTGCGTGTTTCTTCTTGATTTTTGAATCTCCATTTGGTCCTAGATTTTAAAAATTGGATTTGATGCTTACTGTATTATGGGGTTTCTAACTAGCGGATTTGGCCTTGATTTTGGTCCGAGATTATTGTGTCTTTGTTTCTCTTGAATATGATCCGATCTTTTCATTCATTCTTTTCATCTCAATTTTCTGAATATGTTTTCTTTTTTCTGCTTAAATTTCTATAGTTCCCAAATAAGATTGAATTCCATAGTTTTAAAATGGACTGCTATGAATCTCACCTCTTCTTTTCCGGGCCGTTTTCCCATTATTCTTAAATTCTGTAGTTTTTACTTGACTTCGTTTGGCTACATTCAATCGTTCCTGAATTTCCAGATACATCATATATTTGGGGCTGTTATATATTTCGTTATGCTTCTGTATGTGCTGCTCTTTTCTGTTATCTATTTTTTTTTTCAATGGTTTATACTTAATTGAGTGTATTTTATGCTGCGCCAGAAATTTTTAGTCCCTTCACACAAAGGAAACGTTGTACTTGTGTCAAATTCAAATTTGTCTTTCTTGATATTTTGGCCCTTGACCATCTGAATCATTGGCTACAATAAGTGTTGCACGTCTTGTATTCTCCATTTAACGATTCTCTTATGAATTTCCATTCGCTGTTTTGAAGAACTCATATTTTTTTTTTATCCATATCCACCTCTAATTGATTAAATGATTTTCATTTATTGATAAATGAGGTTCAGTTGTATAAAAGTGGTTGGGCTAATGGTGCAGGATGAGAGAGAAGTACCACCCAATGCTGACACCACAGGTGTTACTACCGCTGCAGCAGTTGCTGCTCATGGGATTGAAGTAGCAGTAGAGTTTAAGCCAGTTGAACACCCAGTTGAGCCTCTTGACAATGATCGACCAGTAAAATGCCCACTACCAGAGCCTTCAATTCTCAATGTAAGCCAAAACTAATTTATCAATAGTACATGCCTACATATATACATGAATTCTGTTCTGCCATTTTGTTTTGTTCGGTGCCATTTCAATTGTTAAATTATGGGTCTTAAATCATTTTTCACTACTTCAACCGGTGTTCTTTATGGTCTGTCCCTAGCTCTTCTAGCCCTTCAACTTGTAACAGATCACTTCTTATTACTGGTGCTGTAGATGGTCTTCTTCACACATGCTTAAACATCCCCTTTCACAGAATCTCAGTTAAAACACAAGCAAAAATGTTTAATAACAAGAGAATCTTCCTCATTAAATGATAGGAACCAAAACGATTTTCTGTTCACCCAATTCTTTGAAATGTTGACTTATCAAGCTTACCTCATTTAAAAACATTTATTAATATGTCTTATACCCTGTGATATTTATTTTTGTGATCTTATTTTGATGTAAAATAGTGTAGAACCGTTTTGATTTTTAAATTTTCAATTTCCACTTTTTAAAATTTTGTTGAAGATTAATTAGTTTTATGATGTTTTTTTGAGTAGATGTTTTATGTTAGCTGTTAGATAGGAGGTGGGGACCACAGTAGTTATGTGAGTCCAACTTTTATTATGTTTTTTGAGTGTTATATATGCTGTTTTATGTTTTGCCACCCTATAAGGGCATAGTTGTCTTTGTACTATTCTATAATTTTAGTATAAATAATAAGTGAAGGGGGCAACCAGATTATTGCTCTTTTTTCTTTCAACTTCTCTTCTTCTCCTTCTCTCTTCCTTCTCTCTTCAAGAAACTACTTTCTTTCATATTTTTTAATTCAGCAGATTTCTACTTGGTATCAAAGCATCCGTTAGGGTTTTTTGAAGCATTCTTATGCAGCCCTAAATCAGCTGATTGCATGAAGTAGTAAAGGGCTGATTGATCTGCTATAGATTGCTCAGTTCTTGGTGGGATCTAGACATCAGGAAGGTGATCTACTGTTCAACATCAAAATCAGGAAGAACTGGAGTACGAGGAAGAGTCCCAGAAAAGTTGGATTCTTTGTTTTTGATTTGATCTTGGGTGCCCAGGTATTGTTAGTTTTCTTTTGATTTTCTGAAGAGGGCGAGTTTGGTTTCTGAAATTTTCTAGGCCTCTCGGAGTGATCAATTCACTTTTCTCTCTATTGGGAGGCGTGGGGAGGAGAGAAATTTCCCTCCAGCTAGGGCTTTCTTCTTTCGGAAGGGTTGGTTTTTGTGTGTGTGGTATTAAATTATTTTTTGAAGGTCTCCAATATATTTTTTCTTACTGTTGAACTGTTTGAAGTAAAATGGAGAGTTGGAATACCGAGATRAAATCTAYCGGTATTGTGGGACTGGGTGTTGGAGGTAGTAGTGATATTTTTGGGTCTGGGATCATTACTACAGTAAAACTTGATGGTACAAATTATTTGGAGTGGGCACAATCAGCTAAGATGGTTATTGGTGCCCGTGGAAAATTAGGGTATCTCACTGGGGAGGAGAAGAAACCTGATACAGAGTCTTCTCGATGGGTGCAAGAGAATTACATGGTAATGTCTTGGCTGTGTAATTCTATGTTATCTCATATTGCAAAAAATTTCCTATGAGCTAATACTGTTAAGGAGATTTGGGATGGAGTGACTGAAACCTACTCTCAGAAGCAAAATGAAGCCAGAGCCTACCAGTTAAGAAATCAAGTGATAAGTATGAAACAAGGAGAAAAACCTCTTGCTGTGTATTTATCCATGTTGAAAACCCAATGTCTGGAAATAGATCACTTAGAAACTGTGGTATGGGAAAGTGTAAATGATGCAACAACTTATCACAAACTGGTAGAGAGGAATAGGGTTTTTGAGTTCTTGGCAGGGCTAAACCCTGAATTTGGCATTGCTAGGCAGCATATTCTTTCTAGGGAGGGTGTGACATTCTCTCAGGCCTATGCTTTTGTCTCTAGAGGGAGAGTAGGAGGAATGTAAT